AGCTAGGTATATTATCGATAAAAGAGGGAAAAGAGAAGCAAGGTACTATCCTTAGTCTTTAAGAATGTGTCAAGTTTTCTCTTAAAGGACTTCTAGGAAGTCGCTTGGACAAGCTCAGACGGCAACGAATTCCAGCATCTCACTACTCTGAAGAAGTAGAAGGTGTGTCTACAGTCTGTTCCACTATGTTATGTCTCCAGTTTCTAGGTGTTAGATCAGAGCAAATTTGTATGGCTAAAGTATGGGAACTAACTAATCAGGCTTAAGATAGCTATCTCAAGGCTATGCAGCATAGTTCAAAAAAAAACTATCTGTTGACCAGATCCTTGATATCTATCAAGATGTGAAAGGAAAAACGTATATACATCATAATTTACTGTTTAAAAAACTACTTTATGACTGTTCATTTGAAAAATATCAATCAATTGTCTTAGACTTGATTGTTCCTTCGCTTCCATACTAATCATTCTCTGCTCTCATTCTCTTTTTTTCGATCTTCTTAACTTTATGCCTCCAGAAATTTTACTTGCTATTGATGATATGTATTACTTATATCTATCCACATCAGTAGCACACACACACACACTTCTACTGTGAGCTATATGTGATAAGTTCAGTTATATTGTATTGTATGATACTATGTCAAGTTCATATAGGTTGTTTTAGCTTCTAGAAAGATAGATTTATTCATTCTTCTTAAGCCACATATTTGACCTAGTTAATTATTCACTTATTAAGCTTAACTGTTTTTATATGGGCGTATGTGTTGTTTGGTTACCCTACTCATTATGTGTATGTAATTCATTTTTGTCAGTCTATAAATAACGGATCAGGCTTGATCAATTTGGAGTTCATTCACTTGCCTTCTCAGTTTCGCTTTGCTTCCTCTCTTCCTACTCCGAGTATCTGTTTGGATAAACGAATGCTTGGAATAAATCCATCCAATGAAACTCGTATTTAACCTCTTATTACAGCTGTCACATGAACGGGGTTAGCTGAGGTAATATATGGAGTTCAATGGAAGATATATGTTCGTAGCATATTCATACATTTTTCCAAATCAGAGTCAAATCAACTAGCCATTAAAATATCATCAAACTGGCTTAGAATATTTAAAAACACTGTCATTTCTAGTAAAACAGTCTCATAAATAATGAGCCATTTCGTATGACATTATAAAACTTCTATTATTTATGCATTATGATCTATACCTTTAATTTAGGATATTGGGATACGCCTAGTTTGTTCAGAAAACAAAAGGTAGGACTCTGTTATTTCTATCAATTAAATCAATGAAAAGATAGTGAAGTTTAAAGCAATTTTCATAATTGAAAGCATGAGTCAATTAAAGCTAGACCACCAGGGAAAACCAGGAAGCATTGAATGGCCGTTTCGCCCTATTGTGGGACTCCTCAGCAGTGTGCATCCACAACCTCGCCCCGCGAGATTCGAACCCAGGGCCTACCAGTCTCGCCCCAGAGCACTTAACCAATAGACGATTTGTAGCTATTTGTAGAAATTCATGTTTGATACATATGAAACAAAGATATTTCAAAGGAAGAGAGAGAAATTGCATATTCAAAACTTGGACACTGATTCAATAAACTAATATTCTGACCTTCACTCATTTTTGTCAATATACAGCTGTTCTAACAAAACATATGTTGATGTATATCGAGAATAAATGGAATGTTATTGGTAATGCCACACACAACGTGCGTTTCATCCTGTTTGGAACTCATCATTATCTAGGTGTAGCTACATCCTAGAGTGGATGCGCACATGGAGACTTCAATTCAGCACCCTTCACTTTAAACTCCATTACGTTATTCACTTAGCGACTGAATTCAGATAGCTACTCAATCGGGTTAATTCATTCAGACATTCGATTTTTTTAATCGAAGAAATCACTTCACTTGTCTCTATGCCACGTCCGAGGATGCTAAACTCCACAAAATAATAACCCGCACATATAAGCAAAAACGCTAAATGAAGTAAGACTGTGGAAACTTGAAATGATTTTTATCATTTATTGACTAACCCATCCAATTATCCTTTTGAAATATGTTTTCATGACTATTTCAAAAACTGCTCTATGTCAGTTAGTTAATGTCATAGAGCCTGGGACAATTATGCTTTGGACCAAGTTCTCATATCAAAATATATAAAAACAACCAACCAAAAAAATGATTATCAGGTCGAGAGATTGTTGACTTTGAGAAGGGTTATGTGCATACTTTTATGAAAACAGATTCATGTTACTATGTAACACTTGTCAATTGCTTCCTCCTTTTCAGTTGTCATCTACATAAACTCAAGTTGTACCGTAAATTAACTTCTAACTGAACAATCTTCAAATACCACTTGTAATATTTATAGTCATCCTGTCGACAAGTAGTGACTAAATTCATTTGGAAGTTTAAATGAGTAGCCTTGATTAGTAAATTCCCATCTGGTAAGAAGAGAGACACTTATCATTCTTAACATCATAAATGATGATGAATATGCTGTGATATTTTTGACACATTGAAATCAGAAAAAAAAGTCTATCTAATATGTAGTACAACCAACGTCAAGAAGGTACAAGTATGCATGAACAGTTATTTATGCAAAATACTCAACATTCACTGGCCGGATACTATCAGCAACAGCGTTCTATGGGAAAGGACAAACCAGCTTCCAACTGACGAGGAAATTAGGAAAAGACATTGGAAGTGGATCGGATATACATTGAGGAAATCACCAAATTGCATCACAAAGCAAGTCCTACCTAAGAATCGTGAAGGGAAGCGGAAAAGAGGAAGGCCAAAGAACACATTACTCTGAGAAATAGAAGCAGGTATGAAAAGGGAGCATAGAAACTGAGAAGTATTGCCCAGGATAGGGTTGGATGGAGAATGTTGGTGGGCGGCCTATGCTCCTTCACGAGGGGTAACATGCGTAAGCAAGTAAGTAAGTAAGTAAGTAAGTAAGTAAGTAAGTAAGTAAGTAAGTAAGTAAGTAAGTAAGTAAGTAAGTAAGTAAGTAAGTAAGTAAGTAAGTAAGTAAGTAAGTAAGTAAGTAAGTAAGTAAGTAAGTAAGTAAGTAAGTAAGTAAGTAAGTAAGTAAGTAAGTAAGTAAGTAAGTAAGTAAGTAAGTAAGTAAGTAAGTAAGTAAGTAAGTAAGTAAGTAAGTAAGTAAGTAAGTAAGTAAGTAAGTAAGTAAGTAAGTAAGTAAGTAAGTAAGTAAGTAAGTAAGTAAGTAAGTAAGTAAGTAAGTAAGTAAGTAAGTAAGTAAGTAAGTAAGTAAGTAAGTAAGTAAGTAAGTAAGTAAGTAAGTAAGTAAGTAAGTAAGTAAGTAAGTAAGTAAGTAAGTAAGTAAGTAAGTAAGTAAGTAAGTAAGTAAGTAAGTAAGTAAGTAAGTAAGTAAGTAAGTAAGTAAGTAAGTAAGTAAGTAAGTAAGTAAGTAAGTAAGTAAGTAAGTAAGTAAGTAAGTAAGTAAGTAAGTAAGTAAGTAAGTAAGTAAGTAAGTAAGTAAGTAAGTAAGTAAGTAAGTAAGTAAGTAAGTAAGTAAGTAAGTAAGTAAGTAAGTAATCGATCCAATTGCAAAACTGACTAATAAGATTATCTAAACTATACAGTATGATGAATTCAAATTCAGAGTAGAATGCTGGTGGACGGCCTATGCTCCTTCACGAGAGGTAACAGGTGTAAGTAAGTAATTCCTATCCACTAATAAACAGTACAACTAGCATTTAGAAATAATTATGTATTTATAGAATAGTAAACGAATTATTAATAGTTAATATGAAGATGAATGAAAAAAAGTGAAAGAAACAAAACAAAACAAACGAATATCATTTTATAACAAACAATAAACAAATTCAATAATCAATAATCTATTCAATATTTCAATGAAATGAGGAAAACATAGAATGAACACTTCAATGCATCTGTACGCCGAAAAATATACACACATAGAGAATATTTACGTTGATTCTAATGAGTGAAAATGTAATTACCTTTCATCTTTTTCTTTTTCTTCCTCTTCTTCTTCTTCTTCAATGTTCCAAGGTACCACATGTAGTAGTTATTAATCGACATCTCTGAAGGAATAGATGTATTTCATTTCATTTTGAAATGGGTAAAACTGTAAAATATTCAATCTGTGAACTGAATTTTAACTACTACTATTATTAGTAGTAATACTACTAATAATGATAAATTCAAAACTATGAGAATAATATACAATTTGAAAAAAAAAAAACAACACTTGTGTTTTTGTTTTTTTTTTCTCCTGTAAACATAAATTTAAAACAAAATTCTGGCGGTAAATTTGAATAACAGAATAATCAATAAATGATGATAATGAATAAGATATACAAATAAAGAATAAAAATGCATATGTTACCAAGCAAACCATAAACTCATAGTACATACAAACATACATGTATATAAATAAACGTACATTTAATGTAATATAATGAGATGTGAAGAAGAGGGAATGAATACTGAAGTGTGTGTGTGTGTGTGTATGGATTTGGATGTGTAAAATCTGGACGATTATTTTCAAATGATGTTGATAGTTCTCTGTTGTTTTTTTTATTACTTATTATCCTAGTTATAGAACTTTACTGTAAATAACAAAATCTTGATAGAACAATGAAGGTGTTAGTCAATAATGAAAGAGTTGAGATCATGAATCAATTAAAGTTAGATCATGATCTCATGATCTCAACTCTTAAAAAAAATTTACTAAAATCTCTACCAAACTCTCTTCTGATAACAATGAAAGAGAAGGAGAGAGATAGAGAGATAGTAAGAGCATAATGACTATATAACTTTTGTAACTTATGATATAACAATATGAGAATGAAACTTTTCATAATCAACTTATTATTATTATTATATTGGATCAAGTCAAATGGGTGATAATCTTAACAGAACAATGAATGAATAACAAAAAGGGATCATTGGATCCATGAATCAAGTTTAAACATCATAAACATTAATGTAATACATTTAATGTCCTGTTGTACTGCTTGATATCATGGATGTATTCATTGGATCATTCATATTTGTACTACTATTACTGCTATGATTATTATTATTATTATTAGATCGTTTATTAATTCGATCTTTTTCTGAATCTGGTAAATTTGGTTTATTATATTTTAACCAAGGAAGATGTTCATTGAAAATCTACAAAACAAAATACAAAAAAAATATTGAATTTTGAAGAAATTCAATCATGATTATGATCATATATTCAGATAAATCGATAGCGTTTGAAGCGAAAAGTACTGGGTTCGAATCCCAGAGTGAACATCAACAAGTCTGAGATGCAGATACATCCAGCTGACAAGTCCCAAATAGGATGAAACGCGCGTCAAACTGGATTCCACTACTAGCCATTGTCTATCTTTGCTTACAACATTTTGTTAAGTTCTCTATTCGATAAACGTAGAATATGATATATACAACTAATGGTACTAGAACGTATAAAATCCACACACTTTAATGTTTAATGATTCTAATCCTAATAAGTCTGGAGAAAATATTATCTCCCAATTCTGTGACTACTCTGGAGGTAAATTTCCAGAATACAACTATTCAAGATGCTTTTTATCGATAGTCAAACATTCTGTAGATAATCTACAATCATAACACCAATTCAATTAACCAATATACGAAATTTCATTAAAAAAAATGATATATTGAGTAAGGCTACTCACAATTCCATTTTAAAAATAACGTATAAATTCAACAATCATCAATTCAACCACGAGTGCTGGGTCATGGATGCGCACCATTGAGGAGTTCTATATTGGGACGAAATGGCCATTCACTGTTTTTAAGTTTTCAATGATAGTTTAACGTTGATCAGTTCATGATTTCCATCAAAATTCATTCCGATAAGTCAGGTTCATTTGTTTCACGGTCGTCAGTATAGTTTAGTTTTATGTGAAGAGAGTTGGTATGTTTATAAAAATTTGGAGTAACCCTATTAAGCAAGTTAGTAGGCGAATTCTTCAAAACAAAAAAAACATACTTTATGGGTAGGCAGATGATTAAACCTTTAATGCTTGCTCATTTAATAAGCATTAGGCACAATAAACTGACTAGAGAATGAAACCCTTTTTCTTCAAGGTAATTATTTTATCCAACCTAGTTTGTCACGTTTAGTAATACGCTCTATAAAGAACCTGACATTTTACGTGTACAATTAAATGGACCATAAAAATTCGACTCGATGATTAAGATGTTAGTTCCACAGTGATTGATTACTGATTAACCAACGAATATCATGAATGTCAAGTCCTTGTTAAAGCTGATCGAATTCTATCGATCAACTTACATGATATCCGCTAGTCTAAGAGATTCAACATTATATACACTATGTTCAGATGCTAGATGGTCGGTTGTTACATTACAAATATATCCATTTATCTTAAAACTTATCTGAGAAAAAGCTAGTCTACTTACTGACGCCTGTTACCCCTCGGGTAGGAGCATAGGTCGCTCACCAGCATTCTCCACCCAACTCTGTCCTGGGCAACCTCTTCCAGTTCTTTTCAGTTGTTATTCATCTTTTTCATATCTGCTTATTCCTTCAACTCCCAGAGCAGAGTTTAAATGGTCTGAATTATTTTTTCTGGTTAGCGTTCTTTTAGCGAGTTACTTTTTCTACAGGATGGAGTCGCTAACCTCATGCCCAACCCTCCTCCTTTATCCGAACTTGGGACCGGCAGTAACTTTAAAAGAGCTGCAGGAGGAGTTTACATAGTATAGGATAAAGTTGGGAAACGATACAGTGAGTCAATTAAAAGTCACTAAATAAGAAGGTCATGTTGTGCCGAACAAGAATTTCGCAAATGGTAAGTGCATGTTATTAGTTATCACACTTAGTAGCCGCCAGTTGGGAGCTTGCGTATCGATACTTTGTGTATCTCAGTAACAGAGTCAGATAGTATGCTTCATAACAGAAAAACGTCAATATCAAATGTAAATAGATTGTTTTGGGGCCCAACTTTGAGACATCCCAATAGTAGCTCAAACATGACGCTATCATTATCGTCATTATCATCCTGCTTTTCACTCTTAACATATAATAGTTGAACTTTACAAGTCACAACTTTTCACTTCAAAATCATTCATTTAAACAACAACAAAAAAAAAGAGAAGAAAAGAAACACTCTCTTACTTTTACATCACCACCCGATGGATTATGTTTCACATTAGCAAGTGATCCAACTTTTGGTGAAGCTTTCTCTTTGAAATCTAATTTTTCAATAGATATCTGAAGATAAACCGAAAAACAAAATGGGGAACATGGATCACAATCAATCAATCAATCAATTGATAAACTAATCGATAATACTTGATTAGAGTAAATCAATCAATAAACGAATGTTTATAATTTAGATTTGTGTGTATATGAATGTATATATTGTCTTGCTTGTAAACAGAAAATGATGACAGGAGTTTGTTAGTTAGATCATCTTTAAAATAACAATAATGACGTATGTTGTCAAGGATACACGTACACAAGAACAAAACATGTTGTCAACAGTAAATGATTTTAATGTACAGATTGATTGTCATTAAAAAAAGGTGACAAGATGATGTATTAATAGTTATTAACGTTTTAAATTTACTACCTCTATGAAGTACAATATATATTGATTATATGGCGTTTATTTGAATGAACTGTACAAATTAATTTGATGTTAAGAAGTGACTTATAACTAAAATGGGGGGGGGGGAGGGTCTTGTGGAGATTGTAGTAATTTTAATAGTTGAATTCATGAGTCGATTCAAGCTCGACCACCATTGAAAACCTGGAAGCACTGGATGGTCATTCCATCCTAGTATGGAACTCCTCAGAACTGCTCATCCACGACCCCGCACGCGAGAATCAAACCCAGCACCTTTGGTCTCGCACATGAACACTTAACCTCTGGACCACTAAGCTGGCACTCAGTGGTGTTGATGTCTAACTTTAATCCATCCATGATATTGCTCTACCATTTATATTATTGTTTGAAATAGATTCATGTCTTTACCCGATACGGATTGGACCCCACTGATCACGGCTTCTCACTAGAACTCTAAGAAATCCATCTTCAAGTCAGTCACTAGCAAACACATGACTACTATTAATACAATGTAGGTTTGTGGAGATTACAGTGATTTTAATAGTTGAATTCATCAGTTTAGTGCTTCCAAGTTTTCAATGGTGGTCTAGCTTACATTCACTCATGAATTCAAGTAATAAAATCACTTATAAATAATTTAAGAAACATCAGAAATTTAATGGTAGAAAAGGTTTGTAGCTCTATGAGGAGTTTTGCTCTGTGAGCTAGATGATTTGGTCGTGGAACAACATCTCATCAGAAAAAAAATATTGACAGCCTCATCCAACTCAGAGAATAAAACTTCAAATAAATCAGTAATTTAATCTTTGAATCACTAGAACATTGTAAATATATGATTAGTTTGATATTGTTTAAAACCAGAAGAACACTAGACGATAGAATCCGAATCTTTGACAGTATCCACTCAATAGTCATCCAAAGAACAAAGTGAAGTCAGTCACTCAGTCACAACTATTGTAAAAAACGGTTCAACTATGAGGTAAATTTATCAGAAGAAGTTTTGGGGAGATTTAGTATTTGCATAGTTGAAAGCGTGAGTCAATTGAAGCTAGACCACCATGGAAAACCTGGAAGCACTGGACGGCCGTTTCATCCTATTATGGGACTCCTCAGCAGTGCGCATCCACGATCCCGCACTCGCGAGATTCGAACCCAGGACCTACCAGTCTCGAGCTAGAGCCCTTAACCGATAGAGGTAAAAACTTCCGAAGTTATTTTCCTACGATTTTATTTATATATATTGATTGCCTACTTATTAAGTATTTCGGTTTTGTTATTTTCGTATTACTCAAGTCCCAAGTTTTTATTTGAACCGTAAATTGTAGCTATAGCATTTTCCATTCATAAACTAGAACTGATTATTTGCGTACTCAGTACTGTTTTTTCAATCATCAATGTTGTTGTGTCCGTGTTAGTACTGTTACCTGATAGGTCTGTTGCGTGGTGTGATCTTGTATGTATTTAAATAAATGACCTTAGACTGTTGATCATTGGTCTTGTGTTCTTCCTCTTCATTCGGAACAAGTTAGTATTGGGCCGACCGTCAAGCATAGAGTATCAGTCTCTCTCGTTCTTGTTGTGTATTGGTTGCTTAAGGTAGTCTATGAGTATGGGCCGATTGTAGGACATAGCAACAACGTGGAAACTGGTACATATGTACATAGATTCAAGTAGCCATACCCCTTTAGTACACAGAGATGAAATGGTTAGGGCAAATCCCAGAGTTGTAGGGGTAGTAACAGTATTAGAAGTAATAGGAAAAAAAACAAGCATTGATGATTCGAGAAAGTATAACTTAGTGGAATAATAATCAATTACGAGGGATTCATAAGCTTATAATCTGGAGGAAGCCAAATGATGAATGCACCTATGACATCGTAAACGATTTTGAGCAATGTCATTCAAAATCTCTAAACACTGAACCACAACCAGGTAATCTACACTTATTAACATGGTTCAGTCTAATTATGACTTCATGGACTAATGAAATGTTCTAGTTTGGCAACACCACTAACTTTCTTACAACCTACTCCTATACCAGACAACATCCTCTATCGACATAGGTGGTGGTTAGATACACGCAAAACATATCCCAACCACATCAATTGATGAGGATTTGCTACTTTTTCAATAGATTCGGTATCCTTATCTAGTACTTCATTCCTAACCTAGTTATTGATTACTCAGTGGTCCGAAAATATACGTAGAATCCTTAGAAGACACCTTTGATCAAGTAATAGCAACCTACAAATATCTATTATTTCTGAAGGCCATGTTTCACACCCATAAAGTAGAACGAAGAGAACGTCTGCGCTGTACACTCATTTTTTATTTGGCAGATGGGTATCTCATCTACGCCATATGTGAAACAAGCTGCCAGCTCCCAACCAAGCTTTCTGAATCCATGTCGAGATTTTGTCAAACAATAACCTAAAAGGGATGATGAGACTTCCGAAATGAGTAAAGTGATCGACGCATTAAACTACTTCACTTCCTATCATTAACTCAGGCGTAGACCCAGGCTAGTCCTGGAGCAACATTCTGCATTTGGAGGGTGAGAATCGTATCCGAGAAATGTTTGGATTGTTGTTTACAATGGTCGAAATTCTCTGCATTTTGTCAGCATCTTCATCAAAAAGAACTATATCATCTGCGTATTCTAAGTCAACAAGTGAATTTCGTGAAATCTACATTGTTAACATTTCAATCTTCAGCTTTAGTATATCTAAACTGTGATTAAAAAGTGTAATTCAAAGAACATTTAGTTGAATGTATCTATATCCCAGTATTATTAATGTTTACATAGACTAATTGCTAATCGCTTCGAACGCCAAGGCGTTATTCACTGAATCCAGATAACTACCAACTTATTCAATGTATATGATACACATTCCTAAAAGTTCGCCTTATTTTGCTGTTGATATTTAAGATTAAATTTTCAACTGCTCTGTTGGCAAGCATACATTGAGAATTGATGGCGTTTTCAAAGAGAAAGGTTCGAATTATAGAGTGAACATTTACATTAAGATACAAATGCACTCAACTGATAAGTCTCAGGTAGATCGACACGTGAGCTTTATATTTTTCAATACTAGCCATAATCCTTCTGTTCAGTAAAAACATGTGACAGAGTGGTTATATCAAGACAATCCATTCACTGGTTTTTACATGTCAACAATGACTGTTCGAAATTCGCCCATTAATATCAACAACGGGATGTTTCAAACCCTCGGGAATTCGTAACTTTATTTATGTTGTAGTTCGAGTACCATCCATTGTTATTGATGTCTGTATCACATCCGATTTGTTTGAACTACTAAGGATCAAGAAACACTGAAAGGTTTCCTCCAAGCTCGAGACTCCTCAGCAGAGTACACTAATGATATAAAAAACAGAGTAGAACGTTTGACCTGCAGGTTTTACAACCAGTAAATATAATTCTACAATAATTGAACTGAAACCTTATATTCTACATCTTTGACGAACTGTTAATTTACATCATAATGCAATCACCATCCAATAACAGAACATTCATTACTTTCTCAATCTCAACATTGATCACAGATCCTATCGGACCTTTACCAATTCATGCATAACGTAGTCATTCATTTATCCATTTATTTATTCATTCACTTACCTTTTTATCACCTCCACCAGGAACATGTTTAATGTTTTGAAAAGATCGAACTTTCGATTGTGTATTAGATGAAAAATCAAGTTTCTGATCAATAATTTGTAGATTTCCCCCACCTTTATAGTTAAAAGATAAAAGTAAGAGAGTTGTGTAAAACATACATTCACAGGTACATCTTTATTTCAAAAATTATTATTTTTGGTTAAAATATACTACCGAATTCATAAATCGACTTAGAATAAACAACCAGTGAATATCAGGAAGCATCGAATATTCGCTTTTTTCTTTGTACGAGTTGATGATGTTCATTGTTCAATCATCTTGGAAGTGAAAGAGTTACCTATCGATGATGATTGTGAAATAGAATTAATTAATTGAATTTAGAAACAGAAACTAACTTATCCCAACTAACAGGTTAGATGGTTAGGCACTTGCAGAGAGATGCAAACGTTTTGGTCTCGATTTCAAGTAGGGTGGACCATATAAGGGCAAAACTGCTGTTTAAGGCTTCCTTGTTTTGAAATCATTGTATAGCTTAAGTCGATTCGTGATCTTAATAACAGTCAACAATCTACACGATCCTTTCAAGGCTGCAAAAAGTACTTAGCTTTAAAATCCACCAATGGACTTTGTATGAAATTTTTATGATTTGATGTTACTTATATAGAGTCATAAATTTACTTAGTTTTGTTTGCTTGAATCTTCCCATTGATGTTTTTGGACTGCAACTGGTCAGTCTCTAATTAGCATATGTGCAAATAGGATGAAACGCGCGTCCTAGATTCCACCGCTATACGCTATCCATCTTTGCTTAAAATGCTTGTGAATTAAGGCTGCATCGAGGCAATATGCACAGTATGCACATATATGCCGATTAGAGACTGACCAATTGCAGTCCTAGACATCAATGGGAAGGTTCAAACAAACAATACTAAATGAATTTAAACTTCACCCAATTGAACAAGCAAGTGGCTATCAGGACTCAGTGGCCGAGTGGATAACGCGATGGCGTTTGAAGCGAAAGGTACTGTGTTTGAATCCCAGAGTGGACATCAACAAGTCTGAGATGTAGGTACATCCAGCTGACGCGTCCCAAATAGGACGGAACGAGCGTCGTGGATTCCACTGCTAGCCACTATCCATCTTTTATAAATAGAGAGTCAATTGACAATAAACCTTGTTCAACCTAACTTTCATGCAAGTTGGCACTCATCATCAGGATGTAGTACTTTTAACATTGAAGGAATAGATGTCCCCAGTGGGATTCGAATCCATGTCACTATATTCCACAAACTAAGACATTACTAATGAACTAGTCATACTGCAAACAACTTTCTGTAGCACTGTGATATTTATATTGATTGATCATTGAATTAGTCCGTTTTGATTGGGTGATGAAAATCAGCTGGTGTGCAAATCAATATTGAAATAGGATAGAATGATTATCCAACATTGACTGGATGCTTAAAATAATAACAGATGGGATTGAAAAAATATACGCTTATAAGGATATTCAACATAATTATCAAGGTATTTAGTGTTAGTCTAATATTCTTATTGTCATGACTTTATAAAAAATAGGACCGTGTTGTTAATTCGTTATTGATTTTATGTTCGGCTTTTCATCACGTGAATTATCCACCATTCGGAATACGACTTGTCTAATCTGAACACTGTGCCAAATCAATGATGTTCAACTGGTATAAGCAGTCTAGAGTCCTTATTGATCCTTTATCCTCCTGGCCCTTCCAATTGAATCTAGAACAAAAATTACAGGTTCTACTGTGCGAATCATTTATTTCAAGCATACTTGGTTTATATACCAGACAGACAGACTGCATTACACCATGAAATAGAAAATAATATTTGTACAAGATCCAACCAAATGTGGCTATGAACGTGGGATACAATAATCAATAAACTGAATATAATTTAGGGACAGTCATTCGTATAATGATAATCCATAGGTCAAAATAAAGGTCATGATAAGATGAATATAGATGTATACAATTTAGTTACTCAATAGTTAGACAATAAGAATATACATAGAGTAATCGTCCATTAATAGGTCCTGAAAGTTAACCGGGATATAACACTTATGAAAAGTGTACGCTTCCTTGATTCATTCTTCAAGATGTTAGAAATTCGTTTACGATATGATTATTAAATTTTTTTTTATCCGTAAATGTACTTTTATTGGCTTTTTGATGATTTATTAGACTGAGCATATTAAAGCACAAAGCTAGCTTGAATAGATCATATGGGTAGGGAGAGGCATGGTATTGAAGAAAGTAGATTATGCTTTAGTCAAAGCTCACATGTCTTTATTTACGTCGGGGAATGGTAAATAATATAAATAACTACTCATGATCTGTGTACACTATTGTATGGTTTGGCAATTAAGCCACTCTACTGATAGCATCAGTGTACATGTTCTCTAAGTTAGCCCACAATTTAATTAGAACAGATGGATTGTAACTAACTGTGAAATTCAGCATGAACGTTTCTTGCGATCTGGATCACAATCAAATGAATACACATGAACTATATGGTCAGGAGTTATATGGTAATACCTGAAGACCTTACAAGTAATATTAACAATAACAGTGTACTCATTCAACAAGTTAATGACTATCTGGATTCAGTAGCTTAGTGTATAAAATGTTGATTGTTTGAAGAGATAGTTCCTAAGTTCCAATACAACGAAACGTCCATGCTGGATTTCACCGTTAATCACATCTCATCTATTTTATATAAACTTGTAACATAATAGCTATATCAAGGTAATCCACACAGGATGCACAGATATACTAACAAAGACTAGTTAAATTGAACCCGTATCATTGTAGTGAAAGAGAAAACAGGTTTAGTTGGTTGATAAAATATAAAAATCATACTCTGATACTCTATTTGCATTAATTGTCTCAGTCTTCATTATTCCCGGATTTCCATACCAATTGCTTTTTATTTCTGTTCTTTTCTTCTCGATCTTCTCAATCTTCTGCTATTAGTAATTCTATTCCTACTTATGTTAATATAAGTAGCCCATACCACAATATCAATAACAGGATAATTTAAACATTTTCTTTATATAATATAAATAAAACTTTTGCTTAATCGAAACAAATTCCAACGTGGAAAGTTTTCCAATCATTTCGATCCATTTCAAATCAGTTTATAAGAAGACAAATATATACAAAGAAAAAAAATACATAAACATAAATTCACTTAGTATTGTTTGTTTGAATCTTCCTATAGATGTGTTAGGACTGCAACTGGTCAGTCTCTAATTGGCATATATGTGCATACTGTGTGTATTGCCTCAATATAGCCTAAATTCACAAGCATGGTAAGCAAAGATGGATAGTGGCTAGTAGTGGAATCCAGTTTGACGCGCGTTTCGTCTTATTTGGGAATCATCAGCTGAATGTACTTGCATCTCAGTTGTTGATGTTCACTCTGGGATTCGAACCCAGTACCTTTCGCTTCAAACACCATCGCGTTATCCACTTAGCTACTTAGTCCTGATAGCTACTTGCTTGTGCAATGGGGTGAAATTTAAATTCACTTAGTATTGTTTATTTGAATCTTTTCATACATAAACATATATATATATATATATATACCTATATAAACATTCACATTCAGGTACCTGGTTTATGTTTGACATTAGCTAATGAATTACATTTCCCAGTAACTGTATTCACGGTTACTTTTTCATTGAAAATTTGTACCTGAAAGAAACAATATACAACATATATGATTGAAGAGGTTAATTATTTTTTAAAATAAAAACAAAGAAAAAAAAGAGAGAAAAGAAATTGTAAATTATTTATTTTATTGTTTACATCATTAGAAAGAAAAAACATCAGGGCGAAATAAATTTGTCCAATAACTGATTGGTACTTCTGTATGAAGTACCTGTGTGTGTGTGTGTGCATACATACTTACTTTCTCCTGTTACTCCCAATAGAGCATAGGCCGCTGACCAACATTCTCCAATCCAGTGTGTGTGCATATATATATATATATTATACAGACAAGGTTGAAATATAAACAAAGGTAAACGATAGATAAGAGGTTGGTTAAGGGACAATTGAAGAAAAACGAAACAGATCGAAAATAGGAACATGTCTCCCTTAGCAATATAACAGAATTACTAAATTATTGTAGTTTTCATATTGTATATTATATGAGATAAGAGTTTACAAATGTAATCAATCTGTTAAAAAAGGATGTATAATCTGAAATGAATGTTTAGTGTTTAGACTATCATATCACATAAGGATATGATGATGAAATGAAAAGTTGAAAATGCAATACAATCAAACAGTCAACTATAATGTAGAACCAGGCACACATATGCATCGGTCCAAGCTGCCATACTTCATTACCACAACAAGATGAACAACGAATTCATAGAAGTAGTCAATTTAGTAGTGGTATTATATAAAAGAAAGTTTGTATATAAGGATATAGTACAAGAAGAAAGAAATATATGGAGCAACTTTATTCCCATAGTTTAAGGGAAGACAGAGAGTATATACACTCATGCTATTGTGATCGATTCTGAACCATGTCACACACAGTCTCCAACCATTGGTTACGATAGTTACTCGCACCCTAACCAAGTAGTCTGCATCTACCAACATGGCTCAGACTAGAAGTTAGTGACTTCAAGCACTGACGCCACGTTTTGGTTTGGCCACACCTAACTCTCTTCCAACCATCCTGAATACTAGTCAGCATAAAGCGTCGTGGCAATCGGTGTTCAGGTATATGTAGCATGTGGCCTAACCATTTCAGTCGATGAAGATTCATGACCTCGTCAACTGATTTACCACCATTCCCTAGTACCTTATGTTTAACCTCACCATTACTTACCCGGTGATCCCAGCTAATGCGAGCAACATTTCTAAGACATCTGTGGTCAAATACTAGTAACCTACGAGTATCTTCTACTCTTAATGGCCATGTTTCACAGCCGTAAAGTGGAACAGAGAGAACTGCTGCACAGTATACTCGTCCCTTAATTGGTAGACGGATATCTCGCCTTCGCCATATGTGACGTAAGTTGGCAAAAGTCAAACGAACTTTTTGAATACATACAGAGATTTCGTCTGACACCGACCCATTAGGGCTGATCAGGCTTCCGAGATAAGTGAAGTTGTCGACGCGTTCGACTACTTCACTCCCTATCCTTAGCTTACGTATTGAAGCAGGCCAGTCCTGGAGCAACAATTTAAATTTAGAAGGGGAGAAAGGTATCCCAAATATCTTTGCATTGTCATTCGATGCTACCAAAAGACACTGCATTTATTCAGCGTCTTCACCAAACAGGACTATGTCATCAATAATATAAGTATTGGGATTTGTGGAGATTGTAGTATTTTGGCGGTTGAATTCATGAATCGATCTAAGTGTGATACTACCGTTGGAAACCTGGAAGAAGTGAACGTCTGTTTCGTTCTAGTGCGCATCGACGATCTTGCACGTGCGACTAGAACCCATACTAGGACGAAACGGCTGTTTGGTGCTTCCAGGTTTTCAATGGTGGTCTAACTTAGATTGACTAATAAATTCAGCTGTTACAATCAATAGTAGACATTTATAAAAACAATATAGTTCAAAATGAAGAAATAAATGGATCTGTGAAACTAAAAAATGAGGAATAATATTAAAAGTCAACGTCTCGGACTAGAAGAATAAGAATATACACATCTCTGTTATTGTTATCAATTTGAAGCCATGTCATTGTTTAACGTTGTCGACAGTTGATCGCGATTATCAAGTATCCCGTCATGCTAGTAAAAATTCATTTCCTTATACAGCTCAGTCAAACAGTCAGTTGCTCAATGTAAACTAATACTACGTTTTAATCTTATGCGCTTTAGATTTTTCCAAGTCACTTCCGTCCCAGAAAGAGTTAATGTTATATGTATGTGGTGTAGTTTAAGTATATACAACCCATTTTGTAATCAGTACCGTTGATATATACTTAACGTTCTCATTAATCAAATTACTCATTCTACTAAAACCACACACAACTTGCAAATACTCATTTGTTTGTTCCACCGTATACAACAACGTTCTCAAGTACTAATAGTCTATGCATGTTATTTATATTTATAATGACCATATTTCGTTGCCATAAAATACAACACAATTTACTGTTTTACGTTGGACTCTCGCTTTGTTGGGAATCTTGATGGTCACATTATACCAGATGAATTGGTTCGAATATACTAGGACAAAAAGTATCAAAATCAAGGTTTGAAGGTGAAGTCGTATTCTTAAACGTATGGGGTTGAACCACAACAGTAAGGTGTTTCCCTTGAAAAATCAGTACCTCTATTGATACTACTTTCTCACAGTGGAAAGGAGTTAAACGTAGTTGGTCCTAAAAATATACAGAATAATTCCTTACTTAGGATAACAAATGGGTATAAACTGAGTGTCTGAGATGAAAAACATACTAGATGATTGTAATATAGACAAGAGATGTTTGCCTGAGGTGCTAATTTGTTCGGACTGAAGGTGGTGGGAATATAAGGATCATATATCAGTGGACGAATAAGAGTCAAGATTATCACGTTAGCGCTCAAGGTTACTCGTACTAGCCTAGGAGTTTCATTGGCCAGGTTAAGCAATTTGTCGATAGAGGGACCAGAATACTAGAACTCGAGGAGAATAAACCAAGATTTCAGTTAATGAGTTTTTTTCCGAGCTTTCGACTCATGAAGTGCGAGGTAGCGAGCATCATAACACTGTGAATACATTCTTCTCAGATCATATTGTCCATGTCTAATATTTTCTACCACAAATAATATTATTTTAGTGGACGATACTCACAAAATTGCATCCAAATTGTGTGTAGCGGAACGTGGTGTCGAAGTTACTACAATTGTCGGACGGAGTTAAGAGTTTCAGTGGATCAAAAGCACGGCACTAGGAGAACACTTGGAGATCAGACGAGAAGACAATTCAGATGACAGAACACACAGAAAGATGCAAATGGACGATTGAAGGCTATGTATAAGCATTATGTAATGACTTTGTAACTTCTCTCACTACTAAAATATATTCCCTGCCTATTTTCGTATTTTACACTACCACTTAGTCTAATAAAGAGACATCTACCCAATTAATAATTTCACTACACTGTTCCAATATAATGTGACAAATTGAATCAATGCACATATGTGCAAGGTTCAAAGGTCTGAACTGTGTTTGTCAACATTAAAATGACGATGAAAGGTGAATAATTCTAAACAAGTTATTTTATATCCATTCTAAGATTTTTTTGATTGATCAGTCAATCGTCAATATATCTGATATGAATATTTTTCGAAAAAAGGCCGAAGGGGCCTTGAAGGCACTGGAATACATCTTATCCGATCAACATTGAACAGAAGTTTCTCAGAAACATCTAGAAAGTGAAAAGTCACGTGTCACATTTCTAACTGGATGATTATCTATTTATCCTGTTACTATGTTTAGCAGGGTTCGAGAATTTTCCAGAAGCCCAAAACCATCTAAAATGCTATGAATACCCTTCCTTTTTACTGTACATAAACTAACCCTGGAGTAAAGAGTCCTTTCCATACTTTGCATCTTTTCTTTCGTGTTCAAGTTGTCGTTTAGATTTACCCTAGGGTTATTAGAAGAACTAAAGAAACCAATTCAATTGTTCAGACAGAAGGTTTATCATTTCAACACTCAGACTATAAGGAATTTCTGAAAGCTTCATATTGTCATCATCATCTTTATCCTCACTCTAGTAAACAATGTAAACATAATCAATGATTTTATGAACCAATGGTTTTAAGATGCTCTTCCTTTTATCGACTTACCTTCTATCATTAAATTTGCTCATGCATTAAACTTGTTTACAAATACACACACACACACACATACACCTTATTTTTCAATAATCCATGAACTTTAATTGTATTTCCCTAGTGATTTTAATTTTTAGGTTAATTTCAATTTTCAAATATTTGTTTCAGAAGGGGTTTTGTGGAGATTTAGTATTTTCATAGTTGAAAGCGTGAGTCAATTGAAGTTAAACCACCAAGGGAGACCTGGAAGCACTGGACGGCCGTTTCGTTCAATTATGGGACTCTTGGGATGTCGACTCAGTGGTCTATCTATTAAGTGCTGTGGCGCGAGACTAGTAGGTCCTGGGTTCGAATCTTGCGAGGCGAGGTCGTGGATGCTCACTGCCGAGGAGTCCCACGGCTGTCCAATGCTTCTAGGTTTTCCTTGGTTGTCTAGCTTCGATTGACTCACGCTTTCAACAATGAAAATATTTATTCGTTTCATCGGGATGAAGATGTAGTTTAGTGTATTTTACAACATTGGTATAAACAAACATAAATATATGCACTGGCATCTATCCAGCATGGTTTTTTATTATTCGAGCAGGGAATGAGCTCTTGTACGACTAAAATGTATTTTCAGTTTACTGATCACTGAGCAGTAGTGACCAATATCATGTATGCAAAGTCCTTCATTAGTTCTGATCCGATTCTGTCGACCAAGTTGCAATTCAATCAGCACAAAGAAGGAATTGACATGCATGGCATTAATCACTACTCAGTTATCCATCAATTGTAAATAGTATTAATTGTCATTGCATCTGGCATATCACATATGACGTATATCACTGTGAACAGAAAGTGTGTGTGAAAGAGAGGGAGTGCCGTACTAAACTATGCTCTTAAGAAGTTGGAGAGGGAGGGGAACATAATGAAGAGGCTAATTAATATTTCAGAAATACAGAAGGGATATTAATTATCTTTTAAATTATGTTGCTGATAGCTTTGAAGAGATAAACTATGCGATGCAACAATCTCCACAAATGATTATTAACTACTCATTACTGAATAATTTTAAGAGGTAGTTCTTGCAGTTCCAGTAAGAAGTCATGACCAGTTATATTCAACCATATATTCAATGGGGCAGTTACCTTATCAATCGCATTAGATGATAGTTGCACAATATTATGAATTGACTGAAATAAGGAACGTAAATCATTGGATGTTGACTCACTGGTCTAAAAGTTAAGCGGTTAGCGTAAGATCTAAATGTCCTGGTTTCAATCTGTGGTGGGGTCATGGATGATTACTGATAAGATATGCTAATCGATAACGGACTAGTGGGTAAAAATAGTGAATCTTAGATGAGAACTGGTTTTTAAAAAATTTGAAGTCAGCTCTATCATCTGTTACTATGTTTGTAGAAATAAGTAAAAATAGGCAAATAAGTGAAAAAATTGAACTTATTAAACTTACATTTCCCCCTCCTGGTTTATGTTTTGCATTTTGAAGTGATCCGATTTTTGAAGAGATTGGTCTTGGTGGGCCTTAAATTAACAGATAAGATAAAAGATTGATGAAAAGTGCTGTTATAATGATTATCTGTTATTACACGTTTACTTAATCTGTCTTAACCTTTGGTTAAATACATCATTCTCATCATTTTTTATCCTATCACCTATAAGTTTGATCATACCGACTACTCATGTGTAACCCTGATCACGGTTTATACATTTGTGTATGCTAGTGCCTATGAGTGTGTATACCCACTTGTGTCTATTTCATGGTTATAAAGACTGAGTTAACTATAACTCAATGAGCCGGTCATTTCTGTCACTACGGTGATTCATACGGATTTCGTTTCATCTTTCGTCGTTCGTCCGTACTATCGAACGTCTGAAATCTACGTTGTTGTTAATGGGATTAGTCGAAATAAGTAGGATATATATTTCATTAACACATATATCACTTGGTCGTTTATATTCAGACCGCGGTCTACACCACGAAACAATCTGTGGGTCAATATAATAAAATATAATACCGGTTATTCCTAAAGAACTTAAGAACCTGGCACCACATTAGAGTAGCAAGGTGAAATTATCAAGACAAATCCTACAGTAATGATTGCAACATTATTATTCACGTCAGAAACTATTAAGCATGAAACATATAACTTCAGATGAAAGAATTGAAGAATGAAATAATTTTGAAACTCAAAATCTAAAAAGTAAGAACTTAAAAATCATTAGACGATAGGTATAAGCGACTGGGCAAGAAATGGTTTTCATTTTCACGGAATAAGATAAATCAATGATAGACTTCATTTTCTAAAGGAAAGATATACTAATATGTAGACAAATAAAATTCTTTTCTCATTCTCCGTTTATTTTTATGAGTAACGGGGTTCATGTATAGAATGAGCGTGTATCAAATATCAACTCTCGGATAAAGAGTGAACGTATTTTTGATAATATGACGGATTCAGAGTCATTTTACTCAACATCTTCGGTCGTTTGGTTAAGACAGTTATGAGACTAATCAGTTAGCAAGCATTCACCAGGGTAATACATGTTCTAACCACTTCAATCGATTGGAATTCCCTACCTCATCAACCGATTAACCATTTTTTTTTACATGGTACGCTGCTTCTGAATTGGTCATTTCAGTATATAATGCTACTTGGGCATCTATAATCATATACTATAATGATAGGAACATTAATTTTTAAGGGCCACACTTCATACTGATAAATAAGAACGAAATGAAATGCTGTGTAGCAATACTCTTCTTTTGGTTGTCAGACGGATAATATGTCGCCTACACTGCAATTGATGCTATTTAGCAAAAGTCAACTTAATATGGATGATGAGACTTTCAAGATATGTGAATATGACATGTCCAACGCAAATGCTTCAATGCTAACGTTATTAGGAAGATAATTTTTATTTCATATACCAACAGTCAATATTGTAGCAGTATGCATTCGTAATCTAGTTTTGCAAGGGACTCAGTTTAAGTTTACCTGAATTTGTTAAGAAAACTATAATAGTATTCAGTTATTGAAGTATATAGATAACTGCCTTGTTCTTTACTAAGTTAAAACTACAAACTATTCAACGTATTAATAGCCATATGCTTAATAGTGATTGGATAAGCCAACCTGACGTTCATCGGTCAATGATTCTGATTATTGAAATCAATTAAAATATAAATTGATGATAATACTCGTAAAATTAATCATTAGCCTGACCAATAGACTGGTAGGTTCTGGGTTCGAATCTCGCGAAGCGAGGTCGTGGATGCACACTGCTGAGGAGTTCCACAATAGGACGAAACGGCCGTCCAGTGCTTCCAGGTTTTCCTCGGTGGTCTAGCTTCAATTGACTCACGATCTCAATTATGAAGATAGATTTCAGTTCTTCACGAAGTTGAAAGAGCATCCAAAAGTTCATCCATTTAATTTTTTTAGAAGTTTAAACAGGAAACTGTGATCTGTAGAGTAAAACATCTCTCCAATGTTATAATACACCAAGAATCATTCCGTATTTAAACTCAATAGTTAGATGATTTTGTTAGTAGATCAATCATAATCAACATAAAGTGATAAAATGAAAGGGTGTTAGCTCAAGTTCTCAAAACCAGTTAATTAAAACAAGACAAAAAAGTAGTAAAATGAATAATATAAAAGAGTAGAGATAACGGTAGTGTATTATTAATCATGAAATAGACCTAACATTGGTGAATATGTTTTGTTTGAAAAATAAGGGATAACTTAGAACAATGAAACATATGAAATAATATTAAAGCTTAAGATTTGAAGGAAAACAAAATGTGAATAAATCTATGCCATTGTAATCAATTTTGGTCTAAGTTACTTATTTATTTACTTGTACACATAAATTATGGTACAAAAGGTGCACCAGTTATATATGCGCCACACATATCTTATTTGATTTGTGTGAAGGCTGTGATACCGCCCGGGTGCCCAAACCGGAACAGGTGATTTTCTTAAGGGGCCATACACGGAGTCTTCGACCTAAAGGTCTGATCCACAAGGCAGTGGAGCATCGTGAGGAGATGCAGTCCCATGGAAGCCGGTGACCAACAATTGGTTCATACACCATTTGTTTTATCAGGATACTGGAGCCCATGTGCACCAGTGGTTTGGAATCAGGGTTTTCCAATTTCCCTAGGTGGACGCGCCGTGTTCACCGACCCGGTTAAAGCACCGGACATTCGCTTTTCATTCTCTCAAGTTCGTAATCAACACGCCCGCCACGAGAAGGTAGTGAGTAGGACTTCCTTGGCAGAGGCTTTATACGCATGGCCATATGAGAGCATTTCGAGGGGAAAAGCGGACTCTCCTCACTCTCGGCCGTACCAGAGCATTTGGGGGCTTATATTACTCCATAACGTCATGAATGACTGATCGAATGTTTCTGGGCTTGCTCTGTTAGAACTAGAATTTTAGGCTTTTCTGAGACTATCAACATACCCTTTTGTTGATCACTTATACTATTTATAATCATAGCAATAATGAAAAGTAACGTTTTAGATCGAGAATGAAACTATTAAGCTGAAGAGCTAGACATGAACATGGTTCTAATATCTCTAGTATATGACTACCAGTGAAATCTGAAAGGTATGTTTTTGTGTTCCTATTTGTGTTACACCAGTTGGATGTACTTAGATCTTATAATTAATATAACAAATTGAGAATATTCAACAGTTATATGAAATAATTAACTTACCACTGCTAGAGAATACCTAAAAACCAAAAAGAAATGATTGTAACAAGGATGTGATCATTTGTGAATATTATAAAAATTGAAAAGAGATTAATGATAATAACATCAAATTAGAAATAAACCTTGAATTTCCAGTTCCATTGAATGATAACAGGATTCATATTTGTATCTAAGAAAGTCAACAATATGATGTACTATGTTATTAACTGTTAAATGGTTAGTTGGACAATATGTACAAATATCTCAGTCCTACAAAACATCAATTATGGTCTGAATATCTCAGAGCAGGTATCTCTAATACCTGACGATATGTGATACAGGTCCAGATCCTGAAGTTCAGATTTAGTATCTTGAAGAGTATAAATATAATGTGTTGACAACTGTCAACTACATAGATTTTAGTGATGGTGGAGAAGATTTGTAGATTACGTGGATGAAGAACAAAACTCCATCAAAAATGGACATTAGGTCAAGTATGGCTTCGTGTTAAATATCTTCTAAAAGAATTGATCTCACGATATACCAAAACTTATACCAATTACAACAATAACAACATGATTTGAACAATTTACAGAGTACACATTGTACATTCACAAATATGTTAGGAAATAACCAGGTAAGAAAACAGAAGATACAAAGAGAACAATAATGATAAATACCGGTTGATAAAGCTTGAAATTCATTAAAATTTAAAAAGAAAATCATTTATCTCATACTTCTATAATACTAAATTAGTTTTCACTTGTGATAGGTTGGGCTAATCAGAAATAACACATGATTATACTCTCACATGGTGCCTCAAGGCCAAGAGCTGAGTAAAAGATGATCAATGATGTATGCTATTGGATGAAACTCTTTATGTACTTTATTAAGGTTTTGACTTGTAAGCTTAAGGGATATATATATATATATATCAATGATTTGTGTACAGTACTATTTCGTTGTCAAATACATCTTTCCTAATCATTCTTAGTCTACAGATTGAGCAGAAGGAGTATAGGAAGTGTGCATATCTGTAACTCATCGGACGACCTAAAAACAACACTGAATGGCGACAATTCATTAGTCGGTCTGTATGCAGTAGCAAATGAAAATTCAAGCAGCATAGTTGAAATCAATTGAGATGATGACGAAGACACGTACAATTCAAACCAATCATACATTGTTGTTTAAATGATTTAATGAAATTAATAATTGAGTCGTTGGTCAACTCAATGAGTGAAAAAAATTCATCTTGATCTTCAAGCAGGTGTGACATTCCAGCCCGGCTTCAACCGATATGAAAACATCTTTCGGACGAAATTCTTACAATATAATCATGAAAATCCTTTGACAGCCTGTATACACCTCTGAATATTGGGTAAGTAAACCTTATTGTAATCTTCTATAAGGTCCTATACAAATTATACTCGACTTATCTCTTGTATCACAAATATTTTAAGAAATGGATGTCAGAAGTTGATTAACGGTAAACGTGAGAACCATGAGAGAAGCTGACATAGCTTCAGATCACCGCTTGATGGTCGTCAAGATGAAACCGAAGCTAAAGAAACACTGGACAACTGGAGAAACGGAATTACAGACGTTTGATACAGCCTTCCTTCGAGATACTAAAGAACTCAACGAATTCAAGACAACTCTCAACAACAATTTTCAAACCTTACAAGATCTATTCAAACAAGAAGAAACTACTATGGAAGACAATTGGAAGGGGATCAAAGAAGCACTAACTTCAACGTGTCAAGAGGTTCTTGGTCACAAGAAGCATCATAATAAGGAATCGATCTTCATTGAAATCCTGGACAAGATTGGAGAAAGAAAGAACAAGAAGACAGCAATTCACAATAGCCAAACAAGAACGGATAAAGTCAAGGCACAAGCTGAATACACAGAAGCAAACAAGCAAGTTAAGAGGAGAATTAGAGCCGACTAGCAAAAATAAGTAGAAAACCTAGCAACTACAGAGGATAAGGCTGCCATAGGAAACATGAATCAACCATATGACACAACGAAGAAACTGATAGGGAAATATAGTAAACCAGAGAGACCAGTCAAGGACAAAGAAGGCAGACCAATCACTAAGATTCAAGAACAAAGGAACAAATGGGTAGAATACTATGAGGAACTCTTGAATGGGCTAGCTCCACTGAACCCACCGGACGTCGAAGCAGCACACACAGATAATCCTATAGATTTCACTCGACCAACGATCGAAGAAATCAGGATGGTCATCAGACAAATCAAGAGTGGGAAAGCAGCAGGACCTGATAATATGCCATCTGAGGCACTGAAGTCAGACATAGAAGAAACTACAATCATGCTCCACCCTCTATTCATGAAGATTCGGGAGGGGAAACTGGCGCCACTGACAAACTGGAAAGAAGGATATCTCATCAAGATGCTACAGAAAATAGATCAGTACAGATGTGAGAACTACAGATGCGCCACACCACTATTGGTACCAGGAAATGTTTTCAACAGAATGTTGCTGAACCGGATCAAAGATTCAGTAGACGCCCAACTTCGAGATCAACAGGCCGGATTACGTAAGGATTGGTCGTGCACAGACCAAATCGCGACACTACAGATAAACGTTGAAAAATCGATGGAATGAAACCTGTCACTGTAGATCAACTTCCTTGACATTCGATAGTGTGGATAAGAGAACATTATGGAACCATCTCCAACATCATATGGAATTCGTACGATGGACTACGGTGAAAAATTATGCATGAAGGACAGCTGACAAATGCATTCCAAATGAGGACCGGTATCAGACAACGCTGCTTACTCCTCCCTTTCTCTTTCTTCTGGTGGTTGACTAGATTATGAGGGCCTCCACGTCTTAGAGGAAGAACGGAATACAATGAACAGGTCAGGTGCAACTAGACGATTTTGACTTAGCAGATGACCTGGCCATTCTATCCCATACGCACCAACAAATCCAGGTCAAGACAATCCGTGTACCAGCAGCTTCTGCATCAGTATGCCTCAACACATACAAGACAAAAACCAAGGACCTGGATTCAACACGGAAAACGCCAACCCAGTCACACTCGATAGAGAAATTCTAGAAGAGGTGGAAACTTCCACGTACGTGGGCAGCATCATCGATGAATTTCGAGAATCTGATGCAAATGTAAAGGTGAGGATTGGCAAAGCAAGAAGAGCATTCCTACAATTGAAGAAAATATGGAACTCAAAATAACTGTCTGTCAACCAAATACAAAGACATAATCTTCAACACGAACATCAAGACAGTTCGTTCTACTGTACGGAGCTGAAATGTGGATAACTACCACAGCCATCATCAATAAGGTACAAGCATTTATAAACAATTGTCTACACAAGATATTCAATTTTCGTTGACCGAATACCATCAGCAACACTCTACTGAAGGAGACAACAAATCAACCTCCAGCTGAAAAGGAAATTAAGAAAAGATGTTTGAAGTGGATATGACACACATTAAGGAAATCATCAAACTGCATCACGAGGTAGCCGCTAACTTGGAATCATGAAGGGAAACGGAAACCTGGAAGACTAAAGAACACACTACGTCGAGAATTGGGAGCAGACATGAAAAGGATGAATAGCAACTGGAAAGGATTGTCCAGGACAGAGTTGGATGGAGGATAGTGGTGGGCGGTCTATGCTCCCCCACGAGAGGTAACAGATGTAAGTTAGCAAGTAAATACAGAATGAAATGAAATTATTAGTATTACTAAACCATTTGTGTATTTCTTATGTGAATAAAACAGAAAAGAAAATTACCAGTCAGCAAAAAGTTGAAGTGTACTAAATAGGCTCAACTCCAGGGGTTAGATTCAGTATGGAAATGGAAGGCATTTGCAGAATTATGGACGACTTTAGAGGTCTAGAAGCTTACGGAAAAGATACTAAAATATCTATCACACAATAATTATTTGGTTCAGATAAGGAAATGATACTCAGTTGTTATCTAGATTTCTCTTGGACGTTTTCAAAATGCTCTGATTTTTCAAAGTATCCATCAACGTTTTATTTTGGCGGCTGGAGAATTTCTAGATTCTAGAAATTTATTAGAAAAGTTATGGGATCTATTCAATAGAAGGAAGGTGGTAACAACACTTTTTTTTCAAATAATCAAACTTACACTTGATGTATCCGACTCTGTATCAACTGACTTATGAGGATCTAAAATGTAAACGGAAAGAAAATAAAATTGAATCAATAATTTGATTAATACAATAATAATAACAAGATTCTTTGTTAAACAATGATTACAATGATTACAATGATTCAAGTTTGGATTGTCATACTCGAAAGCTCTTAGCTTCAATCGAATCTTTATAGTTAACATTTCGGACTGATTTTTGTTAAGCAAACACTGAAAGCCAGTAGGCACTAAACAGCTGTTTTTCCTAGTATGGAACTCCCCAACAATGCGCATTCACGACCTTATCATCTTGGATCGATCAAACCTAGGACCTTCAGTCTCACCCAAGAACGCTTAGCCACCATCTACTAGTAAAGCATTTACTTAATCAACTTACGAGGAAAACGGGAAAAATACCACATTAATTGAATTAAATAATTCACAGGTAATCTGAGTTTGATTCCGTGAAGAAAGAATCATATGTATCTTAACGATAACAAGAATTCCCACTGACGGATAAAACAACTGTTCCGTAATCTTAGTGAATATGTTTTATCTTTTTCAGAAAGGGTTTTGTGGAGATTTCAGTAATTCTATATAGTTGAAAGCATTAGTCAATTGAAGCTAGACCACCAAGGAAAACTTGGAAGCACTGGATGGCCATTTCGTCCTACTTTGGTATTCCTCTGCGGTGCGCTTTTTACCTATCCATTAACTCTCTCATAATGAAAATTATTTTATCCCAAGAAAAAATGCTTCACATTTTATTTAAAACAGAATAAAATCGATTAATTTAACGTCATTGTTCAAATATCGATAAGATGTGATCGCTTTCTTTCTTTTGTACACTGAGGAAAAAAGAGCCATATGATTCTATGACCTTGACGAAGTGATAAGTTTAATTAGCCAATAGGATGAGAGAACGTTGAGTTATCGATTGTTTGCCAAGTAATTTACTACTTTTTATTTTATTATTATTATTATTATTATTATTATTATGTATCATCAGCTGTTATCTATTTTTAGTAAACAGATGGAAACTTAATTAATGATACTGATCGTTTTTCCTTTATGAAATCATTTTGACTATTCACAAAAGGGTAGAATAAACTGTATGTCCCTAGTAAGTACTTCACTGATCGTTTGAATATGAAGATTAGTTGTGAAATTCCATAACTGACAATTGTATGAGATGATTTTGGCAGCGTTTACGTCAGAAAGACACTGATACTGTCCAACATATCATCAAATACACATTTCTGTTACTTTAGATTACATATAACCGGCGAGTCAATACTATTCATCAATCTTAACTCTAACGTTGAATCCTGAAATAAACTTTAACTTGGTGACATTATATGTTATGAATGAAATAATCTAATAACACTTCCTAAAATTTCGAGCGACATTCATTCATCCATATAGTTGTAGGGCATTTGTACATTATATCTGATGTCAGTATGTGATAAATACCTCAACCCTAAACCCTTAATTCTAACCTCACATAAAATACCTAACCCTAACTAGAAACAATGTGGATTATCTTAAAAATCTGTTTGAGTCATTTTAGGGTCCAACAGTGTAAAAAATCTACATGCATTATGACATAGATCACTGATCACAGTTATTGGTTTGGCCCCGCCCAGATAGTCTCCGTTTAATGACAAGGCTCAGGACAGAAATCAGTGACCTCGTGGAACGATGCCACATTTTGGTTTGGCAGCTCCCAGCTTTCTTCTAACCTACTTCTGCACTAGCAACTAACACAAAAATACGATTCATAATATATCTTTTTAAACAATCTCAAATTATAATGGAGAAATAGATAGATCGTTTACGCTGTATAATTTGATAGTAGACTAAATTGTTCACTAGAACATTATTCAGACCATGTAGCAGTTTAAATTGAAATCTGGTCGTGAAATGGTCTATACTGCTGTTTCGTAGTTAATCTAAATGCATCTATACAATTTCAGTAAAATAAAACTACACTGACGACTTTGAGCAGCTTGTTATTCAGTTAGTATTTATGTGAGGTGACAGTTGAAGTTAACCGACGAGAAATCCTACATCGCCTGGGTTTAGTATTATAAAGCACTCGCGTCAGCAAGGTGTGTCTGTAGTCTTAAATGAACTGATGCACTCTGGTGGATTTGGTCCTACGTAATCCAACTGCACAGACTGGAGCGTCACTAGTGAGCTATTTGACCCATGGATGACTTTATGTGGGACTGAAACGCACTTAGAATTCATTGATTATTGAGTAGTGACGAAGTTCATGTATCTAAAGTACTCATTTCATCCATCAAATTGCAAGATTACAGGTACACCTTTCTGTCAATTTTCAAAGAGCATAAAATCTAGGTTTAGTATTTCTTACTCACTATCATCAATCCCGACCTCATGTCTCAACATAGTGCACACGAATTCGAGTCACTTAGATTAGTCGTCAGGTTATAACTTTGTTAACAGAATTCGGTCAGTGTTAAGATGGAATTGATATTGAGAACAATAGTCACTAATATGTGATCAATCAGAGTAAATACACCAATCCTCAGAGAGGTAAGTGGTATTTCAAGAAAACTTAATAATGCATCTCAGATTGTGCAACTAGGTAATCCAGGTTCGAATATCAGGGTATGCATCCATTTTCTGAAGATTGCAGGGATAACTCTCTTATAAGTGTCTACAAGCACAAAATCAAGTTCAAATAGGATTTGCTGTTAACTAACTCTAACTACCTAGCACAAATCCTTACTACTTTTGTGGTGTGGTCTACTTATATCCATATAAGTAGTATATGGTAATGGTTAAACATAGAATGTATTTTAGCAGAAGATCGATAAGGAAAGAACAGGAATGAAGTGCAATCAGTACGGAAATGCATGAATAATGAAATCAGAGATGATGGACTGTTATTTACAGAAGGAACAATCAAGATTGAGACAATTGATTGTTATTTTGCAAATTAACTGTTTACTGTATGGTTATCAGAATTCAGTGAGATAGTCTGTAATTTGTGTCTAAATACACTCGGCTGTCCCTATCCATATGCTTGTTCACTATACTTTTACTTATATCGTAATTGATATATACATCAAAAAGCAATTAAGTGAACTACAGAAAAGTAAAACACAAAAACAACATTAACTTACATTCAGACATTGTTCGATCTTGTCTATTCACTGGTTGTGTTGTATTAATCGTACGTGGTCGACTAACACGTTGACTACCAGAACCACCATTTGGTGATGATAATGTATTGTTAAATGTTGATTGATATTTTTGTGTATAAGATGAATTGGATTGTAATATTGAATGATTTGTTGAGATATTGTTTGAATACATTGAATTATGATTATGATTATTATTAGTATTAGTAGTTGTATAATTGATTGTATTATTATTAGTGTTACAAGCATTACCATTGGATGAATTGGTTGGTGAATTAGTTGGAGATGAATTATTATTGTTATTACTTTTACTACCATTATTATTATTATTATTCAATCTGTTAGTAATCGAATCATTCAAAGAGAATAGTCGAGGAATACCAGAAGGTGATTTAATTTTATTCAATGTAATCTCTGCATCATTTAATGGATGATCTTTAGATGGGATAGATTGATTTTGTTGTTGTTGTATATCTATTAAATTAGATGATGCTGTAGTAATTCCTTGATGTGTTGTTGATAAAGATTGTTGATTTGTAGTAGGAAATGATGAAAGTTGTCGTTTTGTTGTTGAATTTATATGTTGATAATTTAATGAAGTTTCTTGAACAGGTGATTGTGTTAACATTGTAGTTACATTTAATTGAAATTGATTAGTTGAACACTTGAATTGGATTAGAAAAAAATAAGAACAATGGGTTTAGTTAATGCTTGAAATTTTTCTTACAGCAAAACAATTTTCAGCATGAATTGTATAATATTGAGAGAAATTTCTTTTTTAATAGTTGCATTCATGAATCGATTTAAGCTAGACCATCAGTGAGAACATGAAAACACCGGAAGTCCATTTCATCCTTGTATGGAACTCCTCAGTAGTGTACATCCGTAACCAGTGGAGTTCGACCGTGTCTGTTGTGAAGCAGTTACTCACTAAAGACAATGGTGGACGGTCGCGCAATATCGTGGATCGATTGATGTGAGACATTAACACCATCTGCTGCCAGTCAGTGGTCTCGAGGTTACCTGTTCGTGCTCAAAACGGAGGGTCCTGGCTTCGAGTCCCATGTGCGGGATCGTGAATGTGCACTACTGAGGAGGTTAAGCGCTCGCGTGCGAGACTGCTAAGTCTTGGATTCGAATCTCTTGAGGCAGGACCGTGAATGTGCACTACTGAGGAGTCTCATACTAGAACGAAACGGCCATCCAATGCTTCCAGGTTTTTAATAGTGATCTATCTTAAATAGACTCATAAATCAAACTATTAAAATTACTACAATCTTCACAAACCCCCCATTCTGCTAAAATTTCTTTTTAACATCTATTCAGATTGTATTTATTTATAGAAATCTAAAGAATAGATAAAGAAGAAAATATGCCAAAAACTGTAGGTGTTTCCATTTTTTATAAAGTTTCCTCGTATTGCAGTAGTTTTCAAGCCATTTTTTATAATACGTGGGTACATACAATTAGCATTCATAGCTCTAGTTGAAACTGAACCATGAAAGTTACATGCAATATTTGCACCATTCAAAAAGTGAATAGTCCAAATATTTGAAAAGGTTACTGAAGTCTAAAGGCAGGTTAATTTTTAGTAGGTGAAAAATTGATTTATGAATGAATTTTGAGATTGACCAACATTTGTGCCAATGTAAATATATTCAACAGTTGTTTGTTTGAAGTGAATTAAACTTTTGAAAATGTCACACATAAAGCTCGATTCCTTCTAAAGTCTTGCTTGATTGAGTATAATTGAAAAGATGGAAACAACGACAAAAAAGATGTCTAACGCTTTTTGGTTTCTAGCAACACATCAGATTTAGGAAGGTTACCTTCAGACTAAATTAATGAGGTATCATGTTTTCTTAGTTAACTAGTTACGCAATATCTCAGAAAGGTATGACTGTCATGGATACAGACTGTTGATTTTTCCAATATTAAGAGGAATATTTATCAAGTGCTTTGTAATTTTCACAGATATACGAATTTACGACTGTTTTATCTACGACCGTTTTGTCTAGTTATTTATCAAGTTTGGAGATAGCTTCTGGGATGAAATAATATCAGTTAGAAAATCAATGAGAGTTTTAAACCTTGTATTGTCATTTATAGTTAGTACTGTCCACCTATGAAATCATTTACACCACGTTGACCTGACTGAAATCAATGGCTTTTAGTTTACTAGTCTAAATAAATCATGCTTTTAGTTAGGTTTAAAGCTTCTGGATTTAAAAATAGACGTAGTCTTAGATGTGTACTGATAAGAAGCCCGTACTATGACGAAATAGCTACCTAATACTTCCCAGATATATGCAAATGGTCTGTTTGTGATGAGTCAACATTGATTCTCACGGATCTTCAAGAAATACTTAAATAATGATTTTATTACTTGAATAAACCAGCTTCGATGAAGGCGTATATAGAAAGTGCTGAGCTGAATATTTCTGGTCTCGCAATATCGTGGATTGATTGAAGTTAGATGTTAACACCACTGAATGTCCGTTCAATGGTCTAAATGTTACGACCAGAGGTACTGGATTCAAGTCCCAGGTGCGGGATCGTGGATGCACACTGCTCAGGAGTCCCATACTAGGACAAAATGGACGTCCAGTACTTTCATGTTTTAATTGGTGGTCTAAGATTGTTCAGTTCATGATCTCAATTATCGGATTATACTTTGAGTTAGAAAATCAATCCAAACAAGTTTATCCAACCAATGGAAGGATATCTGTGATGACGTAAACCAGATTATGAGTTATCCTACTTTTGGTACTATATAGTTAGTATTTAATCTAATTAGTTCACTCTCTGTACTCCATACAACAGTGTATGAAGGCGATGACTGCTGAATCGAGCCATGTTAGTAAGTATAGACTATCTGGTTAGGGTTCACATGATTATCGTAGCCAATGGTTAGGGATATAAGGTGATATAGCTCAGAATCTGCTGCAATGACGTAGACACATTCACCCATTGTCTTCCTTTAGAATATTTAAAAATTATTTATAAAAAGGCTACGTATAAACGGCCTCAAGCAGTCGTCTGTCGGTCTCTGCAATCATATCCCCAGGAGGTCAAGATCAACACCTAAACCGATTTTTTTTTCAAATGCCTCAAGAAGAATCATTTCATAGTGTTAACAAACGGGGAATAATTACTACTCATATATCACTATCAACCCTTAAGATTCCTTTATTCAATCTAGATCTTCTCATGGGTCTTGAGTTTCAAAATTATCTTCTATACTTAAATTATCTATACCTGGTCTTTTTCACTATCACTGATACTGTTCTAGCTTCCCCTACTATGAGATTTGTCTTTATAACTTGATCTTGTTGTGATAATATATTGCAGTAACTTGAATCGATGTACACATACTCCAGGTTCTATGTTATCTATGACTAATTCACTGATTGACTATATGTTCCGGATTAATAATCAATCAATAACATAAAGGATTCGTTTCAAATCGGATGACTTATTAAGCTGATAATGATTTTTATAGTCGACTCAGTGGTCTATCGATTAAGTGCTTGCGCACGAGACTGATAAGTCCTGGGTTCGAATCTCTTGAGGTGGGATCGTGGATGAACACTGCTGAGGAATCCCACAATAGGACGAAACGTCCATCCGGTGCTTCTAGGTTTTCTATGACGGTCTAGCTTCAATTGACTCATGATTTCAACTATGAAAAAAGATTTTACAGCCGTTATTTTAAAAAACAAATCTAAACAAAACTCTTAACATATTAGTTGGTGAATCAATATTACAAACCGATCTTTTTTAAAGAATGTGTTTATGTGACCTAATGAAAATAAACAACAAAAAAAACAGCGATATATTTTCGGTCAACTAATGAATTTTTTATGCATGATTGGAAAATTTTTTGTTTCATCTCATTTGCATGAAAATTTCACTTACCAAAAAGAAAAAAAGAAAAAATAAAAAAAAGAAAAGAAAGAAGTGCGAAAAAATAAAAAAAAAATGTAGTTTTGTACATTGTAAATTTACACGTTGATTATTCTAGTGAATAAAAATTAATTCTAAGAAAATTCGGTCATTATTAATTCGATATATATGTGGATTAATGTATGTATGTATATAGAATTTTCTAACAAACTTAGACTTTATTAATACTACTACTAGTTTGGTGTAGTCTACTTATATCCATATAAGTAGTATATAGTGATAGTCTAGCATAGAGTGTATTTTGGCAAAAAGATCGATAAAGAAAGAACAGGAATGAAGTGCAATCAGTATGAAAATGTATGAACAATGAAGATTGAGACAATGGATTGTTATTTTGCATATTAACTGTTTACTACTGTATGGTTATCAGAATTTAGTCAGATAGTCTGTAATTTGTGACTCAACACATTCGATTGTCTCCACCTGTTTTCTTGTTCACTTCACTAGTACTAATGAAAGTAATAGTTAACGGATAGAAAAACGAATAAAATAATAATAATAATAACAATAATATTCTACACATTATGACTTTGATAACACATTAAAAAGAACTATGCATTTATTTATATAACTATCGAGGTCTTGATAATGTCACGCAAGCATCTAGACGCCTCAGTTTAATTCTGTCGTGTTGATGTTATATATTTATAATGTTATAAAGTAAAATGCATTTAAGAATTTCAATTATTTTCTTACTTGTACAATGAATGAAAGAAACCAGTAATTTTAAGTAATGTTGGATAGTGGCTAGCATTGGAATCCAGGACAAAGCGCGTATCGTTCTATTTGGGACTCGTCAGTTGGATGGATCTGTATCTCAGAGTTGATGTTCACTCTGAGACTCGAGTCCAGTACTCTTCACTTTAAACGCCATCACGTTATCTACTCAGATACTGAGTCCTGATAACCATTTGCTTGTGCAATCGGGTGAAGTTTTCATTCACTTGGTATTGTTTCGTTGAATCTTCCCATTGATATTTAGGAGTGCAATTGATCAGTCTCTTATTGGCATATGTGCATATAATTCTTGTGAACTATGGCTATATCGAGGCAATACGCACAATATGCTCATATGCCAATAAGAGACTGATTAATTGCAGTCCTAAAAATAAATGGGAAGATTCAAACAGACAATCTCAAGTAAATTAAAACAGTAATTTATTTATTATTTTCTTGTTTAAAAGTTTATTTGGATTAGTCTAGTATCTTTTCAAAAGTGTTTCCTAAAATAGAAGTATGTTCAATGTATTTAGCGTCACACAAAGAACGTTTTTGGTGATAATGATAATAATAGAATGACTGGTGAGATGGTATAATGGAAATCATCACCAAATTTTACATCTTCAGTATTTTTGATCATTTTTCAGTTTAATCATTATGTCAGTACTGCATATTCGAGTGTAATTATTACAAAAGATTTCATTTTATTTAATGGATTTTACTTTCATTTCATTTTTCGCCTAACAGTTTAAAATAAAATATTACTGTCCAATAAACAGCACTCATGAACTAAATGAATGGAAAATAGTAACTGAAACCCCCGTTCACAACAAAAATTAATAAACACCGAAAACATTAGACTACTGATCTGGCATCCAACGATGTTAATGTTTAACTTCAACTAATCCACGAAGGCCAAACATTGAAAATGTTTTGGATTGT